ATTCTATAAGATGGAACTAAATGTTACATTAAAACTACTTGTTTGTCTCAATGAAGAAACTGCTAGAACTTATATGAGAGTTTGGTAAAGTGGCAGGGTACAAAATAAATGAACACAAATCAATAGCCCTAGTGCATGCAAACAATTCCAAGGCTAAAAAAGAACTAACTAGCATGGTACCCTTCAAAATAACAGAGAAGAAAACAAAATATCTGAGAATAAATCTAACTAAAGATGTGGAAGATCTCTATGAGAAAAAATACAAAACGTTAAGAATGTGCATCCCTATGCTCAATGCAACACAATCAATAAGTGCAAAAACATGGAAGCAACTGAAATGCCCATTAACAGGAGACTGGATAAAGAAACTGTGGTTCATCTACTCTATGGAATACTACACAGCTATTAAAAAAAAGAAAGAAATACAACTGTTTGTGGCCAAATGGGCCAAACTGGAGACCATTATGCTAAGAGAGATGAGCCAATCCAAAAAGGTCAGATATCATATGTTTGCTCTAATATAACAGCCATTAAAAATACAAACAACAACAAAGAAGAAAACAAATAAATACATATAACCCCACAATTGAAAGATATAACAGAGCACAGAATTCCAGGAATCAAGGAAAGGCAACAGAATACATTTCTGAAAAAGAATGCAGGTAGACATATATCTAATGTATCTAATTGTAAGAGACTGTGCCCTGATGAGGCTCAATGCTAACATGGCTTGGGGGAGTTTTGTACATCATTTCAGGGAATGACTCTTTCCTATTTCAATTTATAATAATATGATGTCAAATCTAAGGATTTTACCTGTGAATTTTATCCTTTTGCACTTCCTAGTTATTTGTACCTTTTGTAATAAGATCTTGTGATGTAATTCATCAATCATCCTTAAGAGACTGATTGCTTACAATCACCTGAGATTGTTAATGTCCCTTTTACGACCGTTATTGCTACTGCCCATAACTAACGATGCTCTAGTCCTTATTTTACTTTCCTTAGTGCCACATGGGACACACACTGGCGTCTATTCCTACATGACGATTCTTGACACTCTTTTTCAACACCCTATCATTACACTGATCTCTTTGTATATTGCCATTGATTACTCTAATGTATAGCACATTTATGAGAAATTCCATTTTGTATGTTCTACTTTGCTAGTGACTAGCTTTCCCTTTAAGATCATGAATTACTTAATAATAAAATAGGCTGAAAAATCTTAACAGTTTTGTCTTTTCCTTTTAAACGTTAACCTCTAATTAATTATTGGGGACACAGAAAACACTGACTTCTTCCAGATCGAGCATGCTAAAATTTTAACAAATCATGCTATCTAAATCCAATATTGAAAAAATATTTTCAACATAGACACATATTCCGAAATTGGAATTTTTTAAAAAGTTGCCATTATTCATTTTGTAAAAAGTTTTCTTCTGACAAAGAAGCAACATATAGAGTATATATGCATACACACAGAAATATAAATTTTGATAGCTTTCTTTTATTCAAAGTGCTTATCAAATTTTATTAAAACATCAAGATGTGAATCTCAAATCACTTATGTTCTACAGTTATAAACTGAAAAATTTAAATAAGAGGAGATAATGACACTAATTCCTTAACTTAAACCAATCCTCTTTGGCATGACTTAAAATATTCTCTTAATTTGAAATATATGTAAATTGAATTCAACTATCAGTAACTATCACCAACTCAGCTACATTAAAAAAAAAATCTTATGGAACAACAAGTTCTTAAAAACACTGTGTTTTAATTAAATCTGGGATATTATTAAACAAGGTATACATATAGAGAGTAATTTTTGTGCCATATCCAGATGTCTGAAAATCAACATAATGCTCTTAGAGTTTTTTCATCAAAAAACATGCTAATAAAAGTCATTTATTTAAAGTCTTAAGGTAACCTGAAACAGATATCCCTTTCAGATTGCTTTTACACAAGAAATGGTCAATCATAATCAGAGAATTATGATTTAGCATATTGTGCAGCTTCCATTTTACAAATGTCCATCAGCACACATGCGCATGTGTACACAAACACATGCATACCCACAATTCACAGGCGAGCCTACACCAAAATCCATGTCTAAGTTTTAGCTCAAAGCTATTTCTACCACATTGTACAAAGCTTTTATTTAGACTATCCCATTTAATTCTCACCACAACTCTATAGGCATAATCATTGCTCCATTTTATATAGGAGCATTTATATTTTTAAACATCTCTTTAGCAAAGTGAGGATTCAAACTCAGGCAGCCTGACTCTCTGGACATCACACTAGTACTCGTAATCATAAATTGCAATTGAGTGAATATTTGTCATTCATAAAGAAAAAAGCACAAATAGTTGTAAAAAAAAATCATCCTCTAAATACAAAAAAAAAAAACCATAGAAATAATGATTTGGAATTTTCTTCTCTAAAACAAACCTCCCCCAAGCAACTGAAGTACCACTTCTGAAAAAATTTCTTGCATCATTCAACTAAGATTAATCTCTTTCTTCCTATCTGTGATGATTACTATACAACACTCTTTCAATATCCCTTTTCCTCCTTTTCATTACTAACAGAAATTCAATTTTCAGCTCTTGATAAAAGGTTCCATTTCCCATCTAGCAAGTTGTGACTCTATGACTAAATCTTTCAGGCTGTTACTAGTTTTAAGAATGGTGCTAGAATTCCAGGAATACTATTAAAAGAAAGTGGACTTAGCTTCTAGGGAGCTCTGTTGTCCCTTCTTTCCATTTTGCTTTGCTATCCAGTTCTTTGTGCTGGAGCTCCTGCAGCTACTTTGGATTATGAGGCAATCTTAAGAAAGTAAGCCACATGCTATAGCCAGTGGGAGAGAACGGCAGTCTCAACCCTTGATAGCACTCTAAAGTCACCCTATTGTGCTTGGACAGCTTCTCTCCAGAGATACAAAATAAATAAAATTCCGTATTGGTCACATTACTATTACTTTTCTCCTGTTCAATACATTGAGCCTAATTGATACCCACAAGAAATAAAATTGTATCTCTCATAACACTGGAGGAAAATATGCTCAATCAGTTTAATCCTGATACTCTCTGGCAATTTTCAACTTTGAAACTGAAAAATAGGAAGAAAAATAAAGGAGGAGTAGGGCTGGAAAAACAAACAAACAAACAAACAAAAAACAAACAGCACTTCTGCCCTCTGTCATCAATCACTAAGACCATTTCATCCTCTTTTCTAGACTAGCAAAACCTTACCATTACTTCAAAGTCAAGCTCATAGAACCACTCAACCAGGTCTATAGATTCACCTACTGTACCAGTATTATCTCTTACACAGCCTGCTAATTTTCACATTGTATTTCTTTTTCTATGTGTCCTCTCCACAGCCCAATGAACCCATCTCATATTTTTATGCATCCGGTAGAGTTACTAGCATACCACCTCCATGTAGCAGATCAACAAATATTTCCAATTGATTCATTCAATTATAGTAAGAAAAAAGTAGACTAATAAAGAAGAGTAGAACACTAAAGAGTGAGCATACATGGCTTCTTAGAAATGAAAGAGCATAATAAAAACCCTAAGGAACCCTTAGAACAAGTTTTACCATTGGATCTTATCACCATTCAGGCCTAGCAGAATCAGTATCACTACAGACTCCATCAAGCTGAGTAAGCATGTTTTCCAACAAATCAACAGTATTTTGCTTCAAATACCCAAAGGCAAATTGTCTTAGCTTTCTTTTCTTTATTAATGTAGACATTTTAGAGAGCAAAGGACCCAGTGTTGGAAGCCATGCATTGATAGGGGATGTGCACAATTCCAAGCCATACAAAAAACTAGCCTTCACGAGCATCATATTTTACACATATTATTCTATTCTTCCAAACAACTGTGATATCATATAGAATAACTGGACACATGGAACAGAGACCTAACAAAAAAGTGGAATAAGAGATTATCTTTGTTAAATAACCTTTATCATCTGTCTTCTAAAACCCAACAATAATACAGTAAAATGCCACACATCTTTAAAAATAGAATGTTTCCTAAATATGTATTTTAAATAAGCTGTATACTAAAAGCTCTGTAAGGCTATATGACATTTTCTGTAAGGCTATATGACATATAGCTGTGTAGTACTACACAGAATTAATCATATGTAATAGAATGTTTAATACCTTTATCTGTATGTAAATACAGATAACAATAAGAGACCCCAGTGATTTTACCATTCATGTGTAAATCGTTATGCAGCTAAAAATATCCTGATTTATTTTTTCAAATTTAGTAAAGTTTTAGAATATAAATAAAAGTACTAGCAGAAAAAAATTAATGTTTTCTATTTTTTACAACACAAATGAAGTTTTTGTTATCTGTTTTTAAAATAATGAGTAAAATGCTAAAATAAGATTCTTATATCGATCACTTATGAAAGTTGAAGCACCTCTTGAATTTTTTACACATAATTTATAGTTCTCAAAAATATTACAATTTTCTTACAAAATACTCAATAGTTTGATCCTCATTTCAAATTTTTTTCAAATAAATTTCTCAGAAGGACCTAAGACAGTAGCTTCTTTGACAGTGAAATGTACAAAATAAATGACATGTCAACGAGGAAATTAGCATTTCCTTTCTGACCAGCTGGGTCATGTTTCTTTTCGAAATCCTCCATCCCTTGATACCTAATAATAATAATCTAAAAGACCTCATTAAATGATCGATATATTGACATAACCCCTATAAGGAGACACACAGTGTTTTAATTGATTCCTTGAATGCATTACATGAGATATTAAATGTGAACTTCCAAAATGTTACAAGAGAAAATTCACTTCATTAACTGATTTTCTCTACATGATAAGAAAAACAGCACATGAAAAGATTCAAGAACTTTCCACCAAGGAATTAAGAAGTCCAAGCTTTTACTAAATATTTCATACAAGCAATATCGCAGCAAAAATTATAGTAGACAAAGTAATATTTACTTACCAAAAAACTTCCGAAGGCTGAATTAAATATTGCAGCTGCCTATAGAGAAAATAAATGAGGAGGAATAACTCACTGAAAGTGAATAGGAAAGTAGAGGGGTTCATCCCCACCCCCAACCCCTGCTAATCAGCATCTTAAATAGTAACTCTATAAGCAGAGTAAGTCATTGCTTACTGGCAGCGGCCTATAGTTTACTAAGATGAATGAGCGGTAGCTTAGAAAATCATAAATGATGAGTCTCAAAAGCAGGCAGATTAGCTTGCCAGGAGATGCCTCAAATCTATAAGACAGTTCCCAAAGAATCGTCACCAATAGTAAATCAAAACCATGTTGATATTGATTTTGCCACTAGGCTTAGAACAATCAGAAGTTGATTTATTTCTCAAAATAAGTTTACATTCCTTGGAGGATGAAACATGGTATTATAAGGCAAACATTAATTGTTCCCTGCTAGTGAGTCACTTCGAACTACAACCACAGGGTGAGACGTGTCACCCCCATATGATACAGTGGAAGTATGAACAGTGCTGAGGAGACCAGGAAAGTTACTGCTAAACCATTAACACTAAGGTAGAAACGAGCAAAAAAACTTGGACTTGATGTCAGAATTCAAAGAAGAAACGTTTGACTTTGTGCTTACCTAAATGTCCACGGTACCCATAGTAGACGTAACATAGTTCTTAATGTTAATCACTATATTCCACGAAACTACACCCACAGTCCTGAAAGCTTCTCACATCACCCCAAAAGGAGAAAAATGTATAAAACATCCAATTCGATGAAAGTCAATAAACAAGAAAAAATTATAAAGGCAAAATGGAGTGATAAAGAAAACCTATTTATACCTCCTGCATATCCTCAGCAGAGTGAAATTAATCATCATGGACATTAGCAGCCACAATGTCATAAAAAGACGTCAGTTTAGTAAGTTTGAATAAAGTCCAAAGCCAGGCTAAGAGCTGTAGCTGAAAACGCCTTCTGCTCCGGGAGAGGACGCAAAGAGAGTGAATGGGTAATGAGATCCTTGGCTCCAGAGAGCTTAGCTCTCCTATTCCAGTTCATAATTAATTCAGAGCCTTGATAATTTCATTAGATTTCTCCTTTGCTGGCCCTATCAATAAAAGATGGCACTGGACCACAGTTCCTCGGTGGCACAAACACAGGCACAGGCCCAGACCAGGCAACCCTTTGCTTCTTGACAGGGACAATGGCATATGGTGCTCCATGTTGTACTGGAAGCAGTGGGGGAAACAAAGACACAGCTAAACAAAACACTGCAGATGACAATTTTCAACTACAGTAACATAGTGACCACATCTTTCTGGAGTTCAATGGTAGATAATTCCAGGAGAAAGTTTTTGTAAGGAGAAAAGTAAATTAAAGGGTAGAAATAAATGAATTGTGCTGAAATCAATAGAGAATACTGGCTGCTTTCTTATAAAAATGGATTTTCCCATAAATAATTGTGATATCTAGATACTATTTTGTGTTGAAAATGGGCTTCTTTTTCTTTAATAAAGGAATAAATCCTTTGCCCTCTGAGCTCCCCTCTTCCAAATTCACATCTTTCCAGTGCTTTTCACTGATCTTATCTCGGATAGCTAATGGTTTGGCCTAGCATTCTATGAAATCGGGAATAATTAGAAATCAAAATAGCCAAAAGTCTAATAAGTACCAAGAAGCATTCACCAGACCAAATTTCCAGTATATAAAAGCAGTATATCTTATATGAACTGGCTGTGTTCCTACATCTGATAAAATGAGGGTGATGTCAGTAACGGAATATGAGTAATAAGTAATAGGGTACTCGAAGATGCATGTGGCAGGCCAACTCAGTCTTAGTTGTTTCCTGACAGTGCAGATGGATTTGAATTCACTCAACTACACTATCCTCCTGTGCAGTGAGCTATTTTTTTTTTAAGATTTATTTATTTTATTGGAAAGATAGCTATACAGAGAAAAAAAGACAGAAAGATCTTCCATCTCCCCAAGTGGCTACAACAGCCAGAGCTGGGCCAACCTGAAGCCAAGAGCCAGGAGCTTCTTCTGGGTCTCTCTTTTGGGTATAGGGTCCCAAGGCTTTGGGCCATCCTCTACTGCTTTCTCAGTCCTTAAGCAGAGAGCTGGATGGGAAGTGGAGCAGCCACGACATAAACTGGTGCCCATATGGGTTCCTGGCAATTGAAGGGGGAAGACTAGCCTATGAGCTGTTGTGTTGGGTCCATGAGTTTGTCAATTGGTTGATGAAACTTCAGGGCTATACTTTGAGTCCCAGAAGAGAAGAAACACTGGACCAAGGAAGTTGTGTTCAATAATAGCTAAGCTAGCAGCTATCTCAAATCTACAATGGAAGTGTTTGAGAGAATCTGATTTCCAGAGTTTCAAAGGGTAATGACAAATATTCAGAAATCATTTAATTGACATACAAAATCGTGCATGCCTTTAACTTGAATAATTCCAGTTCTGTAGTATATTGCTTCATCTTTGACATGATAAGGTTTTATCTCATGTCCTACCTCAAATTTTCCATTTTGACAATGTTTAACTTCTTGCATTTTCCAAAACTGTTCAGGTACTTTCTTACATCTTTGCTGCTTGACTTGAAACGCCCTTCCCTGGCAAGACTTCCTAGCTAACTTTCATTTATCTTAGCCATCGGCTTGGCCATCATGCTTTTAAGATGTTTTCAATCATTTCCTCCCACATTCTCCTTTTCATACACACACATTTACTCCGGTAAGTGGACAGAATGTCCTCAACAGCTGCTGCCAGAATACCTTTCTGTGTGTACTCTGCCAGAATATTCTGCCTTGACATTTGCCACTCAGAATTGAAATGATCGTAGGAAGATGACTTTCTCCACCAATACAATATAATGTCTTATATGGAAGGGATCTAATGAACTCATCCTAAGCATCTATATATCTGAATTGCTGAATAAGTAGGATCCCCTGACATGTCCAAACTCCTCATTCTTAATGCGTGATTCCATGTGTTTGGCAACATCCAAGGACTAACATACCCATTACGGAATGGTACCATAACTAAACATTTGCAGTAACAGTACAGCTGGGTTTCAGTCTTCCATCCATTATAACAACATCTCCCACCACATCCTGTTTTACATCTTTTGACATACATAAAATTTGCTATTATAAAATAGTCACATAAGTGACTGCCATTAACAATTTTTTCAAAACTGTATTATAGCAATGTAATTAAAAAAAAAAACATCTAGAATTACCAAGGAACATTTGGCAACTGTTAGAAGATGATGATATATACATGCTGAAACATATGAAGGCAGGCTGATATTTTCAATGAGGAAAATGATCTTCAAAACAGTGTCTATGAAGTTAGCACTGTGGTGTAGTGGGTAAAGCTGCTGTCTGCATGCCAGCATCCCATATCAGTGCCAGATAGGGTGCCCATTGCTTCACTTCCATCTAGCACTCTATGGATTTGTCTGGAAAGCAGTGGAACATGATGCAGGTCATTGGGGCCCTAAACTTATGTGGGAGAGCTGTGAAAAGCTCCTGGCTTTGGACCAGCCCAGGCCCTAGTTAATGTACCCATTTGGGAAACAAGCCAGCAGATGGTCGATGCCTCACAAATCAGGGATAGGGATGATATCTGCAAAAGAATCCACAGTGGAGATCAGGGAAACCACAGAGCAGCATGCACAGCATTGCTGTCCCCCATTAGACATTGCTGCAGAAGCTGCAACAGAGCAAAGCGTGTGCTCCACAAAAGGTCTTGGAAATACCATGGTGTGTTCTCTGGAACTGGAGTGACAGAGATGGGGACATTGTATAAGTGAACCAGAAACTGGTAGAAATCATTTCAAATCCCCAACAAGAAACAAAACAACTAGGAGGCTGCCTAGAGGTGCCCACTAGGATAGGACCAAAGGAAAGGCTGAATAATGGGACCAGATGAACTTCCGTTTGGTGCTAGAGCAAGCTGTGGTGTATTCTGTACACACCAAGAAGATGCCTTGGAGGGTCACCTTCAGACTTGACTCATTTTGGCAGACCATTTCCCAGACAGAGTCCAGCCAGCAATAGGAGGCTGAAGATGGTAGGAATAAGGATAAGAGTTGAAGAAGACAACACAACCTTTCCTTACCAGTCCAATATGGATACCTGAAATGACAAAGATCACTGTGACCCAGATTATTGTAGTACCTATAAGGTAATAAGCCCCGTCTAATGCATATCCCCGACCCACATTCTAAAGAGCAAGCTATGTATACAGACTCCATGTAGAGCAGCACTGCCACCATCGTAATCCCAGTATCTATCCACTGGTTCTTCTTCATTTTAACTCAGTTACACATTTAAAATGTTCCATTGTATTATCATTTATGTATCCAACAGTTTAAAATGATGGATTCCATACCTGAAATGCCTTCTTAAATACTCCTAACCTAGCCCCCTTCATCTCCTTCCTGCTCCTGTTACATAATCCTGGTTTTCTGGTCACTTTCAGTTATAAAAAATAGTTGTACATAATCATAATTAGGATAAACCTATAGTTTAATAACTAACTCCAAACAGTCTGATACTTCAAATTCCCAACCTGTTCTTTATTTTTAAACATAAAAAAGTATACTTATATATTTAACATATATAAAGATAGATGCATGAAACAAATTTAAAGTCAAACCAATGGGGATGAAGTTTGTTTCACTGTTTTCTGAAAGTTCATTGCATTCACTACGTCTAGCCTCTTCATGCTGGGGTAGGACAAGTGCATCCTATGGAGTGGGACAGTCTCACCTTATAGACATTTCTGTAATATTGTCTCAGCACCCTCTGTCATGACAAGCATACTCATTGCCCTGCTGAACATGGCTAAGGGACAGAAATCTCCCATCTATTGATCCACAGTCTAAGTGCCCAAACACCTAGAAACCGTCATCAGCAGCAGGACTGGGACTTGCACGCAGGCCCTTAGTGAAGGATGCTGGTGTCCCTAGTGGTATCCTAACACCAGACCAAACACCCGCCTCACCTTTGAGAATGGTTCTCTATTAA